TTTATTTATTTATTTATTTATTTATTTATTTATTTATTTATTTCACAGAGAGACACAGCAAGAGAGGGAACACAAGCAGGAGGAGTGGGAGAGGGAGAAGCAGGCTTCCCGCGAAGCAGGGAGCCCAATGCAGGGCTCAATCCCAGGACCCTGGGACCATGACCTGAGCCAAAGGCAGACGCTTAACCACTGAGCCACCCAGGCACCCTAGCTTTGTTTGTTAAAAAGACTATTCTTCCCCCCATTGAATGATCTTGGCACCCTTGATGTAAATCAATTGACCAACTGAAAAGAGTTTATTTTGGGACTCTCAATTCTATTCCATTATTATGGTAGTACTATAGTCTTTATTAGTAAAGCTTTGCAATAAATTTTTAAAATGGGAAGTGAGAGTAATTCAATGTTGTTCCTTCTCAAGCTTGGGCTGGCTAGTCAGGAGCCCTGCATGCACATATATAAAGTTTAGAGTCAGCTTTCAATTTCTGCAAAAAAAGCTAACAGCAATTTTGATAAAGTTTACATTAAAATTGCAGATCGGGGTGCCTGGGTGGCTCAGTCAGATAAGCCTCTGTCTTCAGCTCAGGTCATGATCTCAGGGTCATGGGATTGAGCCCTGAGGCGGGCTCCCTGCTCAGCGGGGAGTCTGCTTCTCCCTCTCCCTTTGCCCCCCCCCCCCCGTGTGCTATTTCTAAAATGAATAAAACCTTTTAAAAAAATTGCAGATTAATTTTGAGAATACTGTCTTCTTAACAATATTACGCCTCTTGATCCATGAACATGGGATGTCTTTATATCCATTTAGGTCTTCTTTAATTTCCTTCTTAAATATTATATAGCTTTCAAAATACAAATTTATCACATCTTTCATTAAATGTATTCGTAAGTATTTTATTCTTTCTGATGCTAGGGCAAATAGAACTGATTTCTTAATTTGATTTGGGAATTATTCATTACTAGCGTATAGAAATACAAATGATTTTTGCATATTGACTTTTTATCCCCCAACCTTGCTGAAATTATCTATTAGATTTAATTGTTTTTTTAAGTGGCCTTCTTAGTATTTTCTACACTTAAGGTCATTTTGCCTGCAAATAAAGATAGTTTTACTTTTTCCTTTCCAACTGGAACGTCTCCTTCCCACCCCCAATTACTCTGACTAGCATTTCCAGCACACTATTGAATGGAAGTGGTAAGATTTAATATCCTTGTTTTGTTTCCTGATCTTAAAGGGAAAGCATTCAATATTTTAGCATTAAGTAGAAGGTTAGGTGTGGGGTTTTTTTTTTTAGAAGCCCTTTATCAGGTTGAGGAAATGTCCTTTTAATCCAAGTTTGTTGTGTGTTTTTATCACGAAAGGGTGTTGGACTTTTTCAAATGCTCTTCCTGTGTCCAATGGCATATCCTTTATTTTACTGATATGGTATATTACACTGACTTTCAGATGTTAAGCAACCTAGAATTCCTTGGATAAATCACACCTTGCCATAGTGTATAATCCCTTTTATATATTGCTGCTTTTGGTTTGCTAATATGTTGTTGAAGATGTATACATCTGTATTCCTAAGTGATACTGGTCTGTAATTTTCTTGTGATGTCTTTATTTGGTTTTCAAATCAGACTAATACTGGCCTTACACAGTGAGTTGAAAAGTTTTCTCTCCTATTCATTTTTTCTTAGGGTTTGCTAAGAATTGGTATTATTTCATTAATTATTCATAATATTAATGATATTATTAATGATCTCGATACTAATTTCATTAAGAATTCAAAATAAATGCGTGGTAGAAAGTATGAATTAATTTATCACTAGAGGAAAAAAGAATTAACTCACTGTTTTTTAAAAAAGTATTTATGTAAATCTCATTGCCACTAGGTCTCATTGAGAAACTATCTTATTTGTTCTGTTGCCTGATAAAGCTCCAATTCATCACCTACCTAAGACCTAAAAGTGCTGATGTGGCTGAGGTCAGCTGTGTTTGGTTGGGATCACCTGTTTTCCACTTATGGTCCCCCCAGTTGTCAATGCACAGCCCCCCAACAATCCAGTTACTCTGAAGAGGTGGACAAAAAATGCTTTGAGGAATCTGGTCTACCTAGAACATTCATCAGAGCCTATTTCAAATCAAAACAGAATCTACTCATTTATAACCAAAATAACCCATATTTTGTAGTAAGGCAAGACCACTGGAAAAAAACTTTGAGAGAGAAAGGGGAAAAGGGCCAAGTGAATATATGAATTATATGTGAGCTCCTTTCAGTTTTCATCTGGAATATTTGGTTCACTTTTTCAGAGTTGTTGACACTTTTTTTTCTTTTTTTTTTCCTTTGAGTGGTAAATGGGGATTATGCATTTATTAATAGCTTTGTATACATAAGAACCTTAAGTGATATGTATTATTATAAACATTTTACAAGCAGGAAAACAAGAGATTAGAAACAAACATCCTATGGTCTGAATAAGAATCAGAAACAGCTAAAATAAAGAAGCAAATGATTAAAAACAAAACAAAATAAGAAGATCAGGTGAGTTCAAAGCTACTGCACAATACCTTCTTTCTTAGATAAGCTCCCTTATATGGGTAGAGACAAGTGCTGACAGAAATTCTACCTCAGTCATGTCACTATACTTACCTGACTTGTGGCCTGTTAGTTAACGTCTGTAAACCTGTCTCTGCTCCCTGTGAACTTAGAACAGCAGCGTTACACCCCTCCCAAGGCTGTGATGAGTAAAATCCCAGCATTGTGCAAGGTACATGCCAGGTTAAATCAGTTACTTCCTTTGTCTCTATACCCTTCCCTTCTATCCACAGGAGAAAACACAACTCTTCAAAGTTGATTTTTGCAGTGTTTCCATGTCTTTAGGATAGACCTGGGCATTTGGAATTCTGACACCACACCTCTTATTAACAACATGGCCTCCTCTAGTTACCTTTATCCCTGACTATACATTTTCTCAAGGAAATGCAAAACACATCAAGAAACTTGCTACCAAAGACCTCAGCCTGGGGACATGAATCCACAGAGGACATGGGAAATCCTCTGCTCTTTCACCAAATTTTAATACCTTTCATTAATGTTAATTGCACAACACCAAAGGCAAAATATGTACCCTGTACCTAAAACTTGTCACCTCCATTAATTAAAAACAGGCTTATGGAATATGAAACTATAAAGTGTTAGACTTTTTTTAATTGTAAAGACACTTAATTGGCTTGTACAAAGGGAAAAGAATTTCTTTTGCCTCACTTTAATGAGGTTTTTATTATTCAAATGGCACATTTTGCTCAGTTTTGACTAAAAGCCATTGCAATTCAAAAGCCTCTGAGATGATGAATATTTACAGAATACCAAAAGGAAAGTTCAAACTATAAAGACAGAATGGAAACAAAAATAGTATCATTCCAACTCCAAAGCTGATGCTATTAGTCAGCACTCTCTGGGCCTGATTTTTTTTTTCTTCTTTGGTGGATTCTGGTCTGTGAGGGGTGAGGGAGGATAGGGGAGGTCTTCAATGTATAGAAGATCCCAATGAAAATGGGTGTGCTGCTTCTCTGCAGTTCTAATCTACCCAGAGCGAGAGGGGACCCTGGCTTTCC